GTGGACTTTTTTACGAAATTTACTACAGCAAAATGCTTAGAATTATATGTAGAATCCTTCTGTGCTATAAGCGCGTAGTCGAAAAAATCTCCCGTACAAATTGACCCACCCTAACGCACATACATATGTGAACGCATGAGCATTTTTTCATCGAGCAAATATACAGCCAATTGAAATAAATGTTATTACATACTAATGTATATATTATATATTTATAATTTTACTAATAAATATTGATGATCATTTAACGACAATATTAAACATAATACTTACCTAAATTCATCGCATTATTTGCTAATTACAAAGATTTTATTCCATTCTAATTTAATAAATATCAGAATGGAAGAAATTTTACTTACAGTTTTCTTTAACTTGCATGCGACGCCATGTCGATTTTAACCGTAACGCGTGAAATGGGCAGTCAAGTTTTGTAAAACGATTGTGAAATTCTGAATTCCCCTTTTCTACTAATGCGAATTTAAAGTAAAAATATATATATATATATATATATAAAATTCCTTAGTAAATATTTAAGTTATAGTGAGTTGAAGACAGCGTTGAAAAAAATCCAATCGAAAGAAAATTTGTCGTTGAAAAGGATTATAAAATAATTGCCTTTAAATCTAATGAAAAGTAATTTAGTACACTGAGCGTGCATTTGTGAAAAGTTTTAAAAAATTGTATTAAGAAAAAAATTATGTGCAAGCAATTGTATTAAAAATAGTAACAAATTTGCGAATGAATTTTGAAATTTAGAATTTTAGCCCAATTCTAAAAAAAATTATGAAAATTAAAAATTTGCTGTAAAACTAAGTGAAAAGAAAGACGCGTCAAAATGTTCCAACACAGATTATATCCACTCAGTTTTAATTAATTATGTTGCCGTGCCTTCTGTACTCAGCTCTTGCCGATAACAACGGCGCTCAATTCGAGTCAATGCAACGATCGTCGATTTTATTTGGCTTGACAACAATCAGTCGCCCAGATTTGGTTAGTGCCAGATGTCATGGCCAACTGCAGATTATGCAAAAGGCCATACTGCAACAACAACCGTGGACAATAAAAAGTGAGTGTGAAATATTTGAATGGAAAAAAAAGAAATGTTTTTGTATTACAAAAAAAAAAAAACTAACTGTCGGTTTCATCAGCACCTCAAGTGCACAACGTTTTTTTCACTCGAATTCACCGAACATTTTTTTGTAGGAAGAGACCAAATGTACTCGTTCTAGTTATCGGAACGATACGGAGTGAACCAAATGTGGCTCTTGAAATATGATTAAAGGCTCACTTCCCTGAAGGTCCACCTGACGCTGCATCATCAATCGCAGACTTGGATAGCCTTGCAAGACAACTCGTGACGCCATTCAGACCAGAGGGGACTTTGGGGTCCTTTCCGCAGTATAAGTCGCTGGGTCATGACGGCATTTCCAATCGATGTTGCAAAATGCGGCTGTACAACATTTTTTGAAGACCCCTTTAAGGCACCGAGTGTCATATTCTTGCCAAAAGTGGACTGAATTTGTTAC